GAGAGACAGAAGGAAAACCTGTGGTTGGTCCAGGACAACCAGCAGCAGCAGCAAGGATCCAGCACAGGCTGTAACTAAATTCTGACCAAAAACTAACCCAGGCAAGGAGAGGAATTGTATTTTCATCTGCATATGTGGGCTTTCATAGAATCCCAGAACAGCTGGGGCTAGAAGGGACCTCTGGAGATCATCCAGTCCAACCCCCTGCCCAGGCAGGGTCACCTGGAGCAGGTGACACAGGGACTGTCCAGGTGGGGTTGGGATGTCTCCAGAGAGGGAGACTCCACCACCCCCTGGGCAGCTGTTCCAGTGCTCTGCCACCCTCCAGGGAAAAGTTCTGCCTCGTGTGGAGGTGAAACTCCTTGTATTTTAGTTTATGGCCATTGTTCCTCATCCTGGCACCACTGAGCACAGTCTGGCACCATCCTGTGACAACCCTTGGAGATCCTTGTATGGATTGATGGGATGCCCTCTCAGCCTTCTCTTCTCCAGGCTAACCAGGCCCAGAACCTCATGAGAGAAATACTCCAGACTCCTCATCACCCTTGTGGCCTCCACAGGACCCTCTGCAGCAGGTCCTTGTGCTTCTTGAACTTTATCTCATTCATACATGAATTCTGGTCAGAAGTGGCTCTGTGAGCCATGGCACGTGTCAGACAACTGCACCAGCACAGCTTTACCTGTGTGACTTTTGATGTGTGTCTCCAGGGCAGCAGTTTCACTGAAGGCTTCGTTACAGTGAGGGCAAATGTACCGTTTGTACCCGTTGGTTCTTTCTGCAGGCGCCTATTGGAGAGAAAATGGTAAAGCTTCACTTTGCTTGTACTGGTGTGCAGTGTAAGGATTGCTACCCAAATTCCCATTTAAATACTCCAGCTTTGACAAGAAAGAGATCTCTGTTGCTGAGAGACACTGCACTTAAATCACACGTGAAAAGTGTAACCATAACGATGGACACAAAGCCCCAGGCACCAGAGAGACATGTGAGGACAACACAGGGGAGTGAGGCCAACAGTGCTGCCCACAACCAAATACAGGCAAGGAAGATTAAAAAATAATCTATTTATGGAATACAAACATACAGACTCTGCTTCTTCTAATTTAACACACTGTTCTCCACACGGCTCCTCTTCTACTTCCACCACTTCTAGTTCTGGAGCAGCTCCAGCAGGTTCATCCGGCTTCTGCACCTCCTCCACAGCAACTCTCTCAATCACAATTCCCGAATTCCTCATGGCCTGCCTCAGCAGATTCTCACTGTTCACTTCCCCCTCACAGGGCAGCTCCTCAGGATGCGACTGTTGAAGGAACAAACAGGAAGTTTGGCACAGCAAATCCACAGTTTGCCCTTTCTTACAGCAACACTGCTGTGACAGTCACACTCTGTGGGGTGTCTAATGCTGCGCTATGGGGTTGAAAGATCAACCAGGGAATATCTTGGGCTGGGGAGGAACACGAGGTGGATCTGTACTCTGAAAAGCCAAGGGATGACAAGCCTTTGCTCCTACCACAGTCTCATAGCAGGGAATGGTCAACAAAAACATCCCCTCATCCTCCACACCCCTGTAATCTACACAGTGCTCAGCTCAGCAGCAGAAGGGCCCAGGACAGAGAACAGTGCCTGCCCACGTGGAAAAGAACCTAATTAACCACTTAATTCCCACACTCAGATTTATTCTGAGGACCCGTGAAGATTTTGTTCATGAGGTGAAACATCCTTTGCACAAAACACACAAAGGGTGTTTAAGAGAGACAACACTCACGTCCGGGTCCAGGGGTTTTCCATCCACCACAGGAAGTTCCTGCATCTGGACATGGACTTCATGGAGAACGTTTCCCTTTGCATCTGTCACGAGGTGGATGACAGGGGAGGCCTCGATGGACTCGCTGGCTATCGATGAGACCGTGTCTGTGTTGGAGCTGCACGAGCCTGCAGGGGAAGCAGCACAGTGAACCTCGTGGGGAAGAGCCACCCCTCAGCTCCATGGGCCCCACAAAACATCTGCCTCAGAACAGCGAGTGCTTGTTAACCAGCTTCTCACACATTCCTCAGTCAATGCCTGGCTACAAGCACTTCGGGGTAAGAGTTTTGCTCTATAAATTGCTTTTCCTTATAAAGAATATAAAGTGAATACCACAGAATTTGAGGGTTTTTTTTCATAAATGAGATTCCAGGAACGGTTTGTGTTGGAAGGGACCTTAAAGATCATCCCATTCCACCCCCTGCCATGGGCAGGGACACCTTCCCCTAGCCCAGGTCACTCCAAGCCCCGTCCAACCTGGCCTTGGACACTTCCAGGGATGGGGCAGCCACAGCTTCTCTGGGCACCCTGTACCAGAAGGAATTTATATTCCAAGTGCAGGAGAGTTTGGCTTTATCAGACACAAGGTAGGTCCTGACAGCATCACTGACCTGATGGCAAATCCTCTTTGCTGAGAACTATTTCTTTGGTCATGTTGAAGCGAATCTTTTCGGTGCAAGGTGTCAGAGATTTAAGGTGCCGAGTCAAAGCTCCTGATTCTCGGAAGCTTTTCCCACATTTCTTGCATTTGTAAGGTCTTTCATCTGGAAGTGACAAGGATCAAAACAACAACATTATGCCCTGCCAGGATCAGCTCTGTGTGTCAGGCTGCTGGAAAAACATGTTCAGCTTCCTACAGCACACCGGCTGTGCTCATCCCAGAACCTTCCACTGCCTCCCAGGACCCCAAATACTGGGGAGCTCAATGGCCTCAGCTCAGCAGAAGGTGGAAAGCGCAAGAAATTCCACTGGAAGGCAAATGGATAATCACACACAGCTCCAGCAACGAGGAACTCTTATTTGGAGAGCCCTTACCAGTGTGCCGCCGGTGGTGTCGGATCAGAGACCCCTTTGTCCTAAAGGAAGTTCCACAGAGTTTACACTCATAGTCCTTCCTGCTGCTGTGAGTGATCATGTGAGCTTTGAGGATGCTGGCCTAGGGAAAGAATTTCCTTTAAGACATTTTCCAAATGGTTTCAGGGTTCTATATTTCAACTACAGAGAACAACAACGCTCCTTGCGAAAGCAGAACTTCCCTGTGGGAAGAGTGCAGCAGGCAGCAGAGAAGCTCATTCTCATTCTTTTTGAGATCTCTTAGCTGACAACTCCCTGACTAAGTCCCACGAGCAGAGATGATACTCACAGTTTTGAAGGTCTTCTGGCACAGCCCACACACGTATCGCCCCTCCTTGTTCACCTGCAGCTTCACCTTGACCAGCTCGCTGGGAGCGTCCTGCTCCTGCTCCTCGGGGCTGCCCTGCTCCTCACCCACCTCCCCGTCCACGGGCCCGTCTGCGTTCTCAAAGACATGGTCTCCTGCTACAATGACTTCTTTGATGTGCCCACTGCCTGGGAAAAGGGTGGGGAGACACTTGGGTTCTTTACAGGATAGAGCTTTACCCAACAAACAAGCCACTGTTCCAGCATTTCGTGCAGAAAGAAGGGAAAAAGGCACTTTAAATCTGCAGCTCAAGCCTTTGCAACCCCCTAGTTATTGCAGTGTAAGTATTAAAGTGGGCACTCCTGGAATGGAGCTTTATATCTAATTTGCATTAACTTATAACCCTAATTTCTGTTAATTGTTCGCACTAATTAAGTTGAAAGAAGTCAGATTTAGGTTGGATGTTAGAAGGAAGTTGTTCCCTGTGAGGGTGG